TGGTCTGGTATAAAGCGTCGGTTGGCAGTCTTCCAAGCCACGGTAAGCCATACGTCTCAGGCTCGGATCACACATGTCGCAGAGGAGCCTAATGCGAAAGGAGCCGGGGAGCCTCGCGAAAGCTCGAGGCCAATCAGTGTTCACCATTTCCCTGATTGGCTGCAGGCGACAAAGGACATGTCCCGAGGTCCCGTAATCGAACGCGCCGACACCCAACACCAACAACAACTGACCTAAAAAGACTGCAAGTAACACCTTTACAGCTCTTAAGTAAGCTCGTTCTCGCAGTAAAAGCCTGTCCAACCTCGTCAATCTTCCCTGACTTCTGATTTGGAAAACCCTCTGTTGTCGACCTCGCCAACGTTCGACAGGCCAACTGGTCAGCCACTCAACACACACTGGGCTGAAAGCGTGGTCTGGTATAAGTGGCAATTGTCAGTATTGCAGGCTATGGATTCTAGCTAGAAATCCTGGTATCGCGCTCGGATCACCCATTTAGCAGAGGGGCTACATACGGAAGGGGTCAAGGATCTAACTTGCCATTCAATGAGAGGCGCTTTTGAGAGCACGCGGTATGTGAAGTTGAGGATTATTGTGTTGAATGTAAGTTCTGGTAAGGAGTGATGTGTCAGTGTTGTATAGCCGGCAACGGTCTACCGCAGGTTTTCATGGAGGCACATGTGGCCTAAAAGGCCCAGAATAAATCGAGAGGTGTTGAAGTGACAGTGCTGTTATTGTTACTGATGATCACGTCAATTGGACGGCTGGAACTGGAACGATGTTCATCATTTACCCCACTGGATGGACTAGTGGATGCTATATATTTCTCAGACTCTATTAAGAGCTACAGGAAAGGTTGAACATTTGGGCAAACGAGTCGAAGGTTGACCATTCTCCAAATAAAAGATGCCCTTCTTTGATATGCCCATTATAAAAAAATCTAGAAGTTGGGTAAGAACAAGTTATGCGTCTGCGAACTCTCACTGGACTATATTTTTCAAGTTTATCGAGTTTACTTTGTAAGGTCGGCACTATGCCTTCAGAATACTGTTGAACTATCATATTTTTTTCTCAGGAGGCCTAGTGTAATAACAGTTACTTATTTGTACGATGAACCCAAATAATTCGACAAGTGATTCTTGTGTTCTTGAGGTTGTTGAAACGTTACTTGCTTTCAAATAAATACTCCACGGCTATCAACGTTGATCCGAACAACCAATAAGAGAGTTAATAAAATTAAATAAATACAAGGGACTCAGTGTAGAAAGAATGTTCTGCCGGCCCACTTGCGAACAGAAAATAAGTCTTGTTTTTATGTATCCTCTCGTATGCTGTATGTTTTAAAACAGCATCTATGACTGTTTACGAGGTTGACACGAGAACAGAAAAAAATAAGTAGCAGACTATAAATCATCCAAAAACTCAAAATTCATTAAAAAAAACCTATTCGAACTGAATGTAAATCCCGTTATTGTCAAATAAGCATGGGACCACATTGAAACTGGGTGTCTCAAATTTATACTGACAAAATACGAGTACCAGGTTCAAACGCCAATAAATTGGAGCATTATTTTATTCAACTACCAAACAGACCAGACAGCTGATGCGAATAATGCATTGGTCCCAGCGGCTGGGACTCACAAGTCGACAAAAGCATGTCGAATGATGCGTTATGCAGTTTGCCTTTCACTACGTTCTCGCTGATGCTGACGGCCAAATATATGTAACTAAAACATCACTACTTGTATTAATCAGTAAGCATTATATTTCCGATCAATATGATAGAATGGCCCATTATGATTTCTGATTCACCACACATTTGTGGTGGTAGAGTAAATAATCAGGAAGGGCAAGTGCATTCCCGGAAGTCCCTAGATGCTTTAACAGTATATAAGGCCTAGGCTCCAGAATTGCTTCCAAAAACCGAATAGTAAACGATTTATAGATTCAATTTAGGCATTCAAGAAAACAAGAGTGAGGCCCTTATCGAACACTGTTACTACTAAACAAACATTTAAACACGAATTCTGTCCACAGAAACATTGTTAAAAACATCCCGTGACTTGAGTTAAGGAAGAGGTCAACATAGATTTCGAGAAGAGAGTGCATTTGAAACCGGATGAAAAGGGCTTACGACAAAACCACTCCGGGCTGAAACACGCCTTTCGTAATACTTCGTTCTAAATCCGAGAATCACCTGAAATCAACGTAAAAATTACATGAAGGTGGTGCCCACTGACTCCATGGGTTTTTCCCCAGTTTTGTACCTGTGGCCTAGAGCCCGGCATAGAGGCACGTGGAGACGACCAACTCATAATATGAAGGTAATACCAATTAAAATCGAGAGGTTTAGACAGCTATTTTTGCCTTTCTGACCAGTCGGCCAATCTACTCCAAATTAAACGCCAGACAGGCAAGGAGTCTCAGAGGAGTCCAGTCAGTACGACTAGCTGACGACGACTAATAAACCAGAAATGGCCATTCCAGTCTCCCTTGTCTTTGCCGGTAATACAATCTGCCTATACTACCAGCTGTTACGGATGTCAGGACCTCTGGCGGGGCCCGAGGCAGAGCGAGAGAGACGAGTTCCGTCAGCGGTCGGGTGAACGTTCATCAATGAGAGTCAATATTCTCCCACAGGAGTATTGGGTGTTCAAAACGCAGGGCTGTTCAGTCCAGAAGTGGGTATGACTGGCTTACCGTGAGCAGTGGGTCTTAACTGAAAATTTATGAAACCCTTGTCTCCTTCAGTACTACTGCTCAGTTTACGGCAGCAATAAAAGGAAGCAGAACAATCAACACATTTTGACGACTGGTCTGCCTCGTTGAATTAAGTACACACTGACTTGGAGGAAGACAATTAGAGGAAGGCATCTCAAAAAATAGTAAGTGAAAATAAGGCAACCTACAATTCTCCAATTGTTGTACTGAATATCACGCACATCCGGAGTAATTGGTCTGTGACAAAGACTGCTGCTATTTATCTCCCGTTATCTGCCCCAGCGACCATATCGGAGTATAGAAAATAGATCGGCATAAGTCATTATCGTTTGTGTAATCAGTGTAAAGTTTTTCTTTCTAGATGGCCGTAGGTTTTACAAAACTAATCGACGTCTGTACCATTTGGGTGTAAGATCCTAGGAGATAAAGCGTGAAAAAGTAACTGTGAGTGCAAAGCGTGCACTTAAGCCTCCCAAACAATTTTCACACTAGATTCTAGTTACAATGAATAATGGAAGACGGACTGAGTCACAGCTTTCTAGCCATTCTTCTGAGGACTACCAAATTAGTAAAGCTGACTTTTGGTTGCTTTGAAATATCTTCAGTACACCTGCACTTTTAACTGTACTTAGTCTGCCAATACTAGAATTTTCGCTTGCATCTACAATTTATTTGGGCGCGATACGTTCTGATGAGCCCGACGATTAGTCTTTCCAGCCTACACCGCCTACATTCGGCACAGAACACCG